GAAAAAGAAGTGTCGCCACATGCATCAAGGCACAACTCTGCACACAGATGACAACACATTAGCTTACCCAGCATGCTTCTGTGTTTTGTTCTTTGAAATGTGTGCGCCTGGTCGAGTAATACAGGTAACAACTCAAGAGATGGAAAACCACAACAAGAGAGTCTCACATCGAGGCCAGCTGTGCTCTTAAGAGCAGCATTAGCAGAACACAGCGAGATACCTGGAGTGACATACTGACCGCATATCTAAAGTGCTTCCTGTCACAAGCCGTGTGCTCACAGGTGTGCGCAATCAACGCACATCAGTCAGTCCTCCGGCTTCTGAGTGACTAATGCATCGCCAAAACACAAACCACAGTCACACAAAACCAGCACATTTCAAAATGTGTCTGCTTAGAAAAATGTTCACATAGACTGAGTTTACCTGAAAGACAAACAAGTAAATTTGTGCCGCAAGGTCACCTATCAGTTTTCTTATCAACTCGACTAATTTGTGGGAAACAGGTTTGACTGCACATATTAGCTACACATAAAAGACCAGACAGAATGACCTGAAATAAAAATGCATCACACTTATGATAATGTTACCCATCATGCTCTTTAAGATTCAGCATTAAATTTGTTAGTGTTCTATTATATGGGGATATTTATTCTGATTTTCTACTCACCCATCTCAACAGGTGACTAGCTTGAATTATATAAACAGCACCGGTACTATGGTACAGTAATTGCAAAACCATGGTACACTGCTGTGTATTGGAATACTAAATTATTAATACAATAAAATACTTGTAAAATGGTACTTACATGGTACTACAAAGTATTTCAAAGAATACTATGGGGTACCAAAACCCAGGTAGTACCATAGTACATTTCTGAAAATATTTGAGCTTTTAAAGACGACACCTTTATAAAAAAAAGTACCATGACAGCAGTACCATGGTGAAGCATGTTAATACTATGGTATTTTGATATATGATAGTGAATGACAACTATTCATATACCAAAGGTTTTACTTAGTATCCCGAGAATACCATGGTATTACTATGGTACATGTCCAAACATCAGGGTCTTACCATGGCACTTTGTAAGTGAATTGTATAGCATATATTTTGTTGAAGGGTGGCAGATTTATCTCAACCATACAGTGTTTTGGTTATGTATATGTATATGTATATAT